ATGGAAATGAGCTGGAGCACGCCATGACTCTTAATCATCAAACACTTCTAATTGTTGCAGTAGCATCAAAAGATATGAAATTGAAGCGAGAATAAGTCACTCACCTTTTTGGATGGTTAAACTTCGTTAGCAAAACTTACTGATTTTCAAAAAAAAAAACAAGTTATTTAAATAATTTTTTGTCAAACAATATTTCACCACTCGTGACACTTTCTGGTCCATTTCTTCATCAATGTTTTTGAAACTACTTATTACTCGTATATTCCCAACATTTTAGCACATTTCTCTTCTAAATTTCCAGTCTTGCGATCGTCCAGCAAAGGTAAGCACAAAAATCGTCGTTTTAAGGGTGTTTTTGAGCAAATCCATCTGATTGTGGTCACGTGAGCTTTATCTTCTGCAAATTTCCAAATACTGCAAAGGCCAGACAGAGCTGGCTTTTGCAGTATTTGCAAATTTGTTCGTACATCATGATACAACTCAGCTCACCACCTCCTTCAATATTGCAAATTTCTACATAAGCCGCGGGTCTGCTGGAGAAGTAAATTACATTTTCCATCCCCTGGCATGATTTGTAGGTGCGATAGTATATTCCGAGGATATAATTATCAAGACTGAGATAGGTGGCGATTTGAGGCTCCTGAAACTAATAAGCAGAATAACTGCACCGCTGGGACATCCGATTACTTACGAGGAAACTAGCGCAAGTAAATAGTGCACGCCTTCCGTGATCCACCTTATTGGGATCTGCAATCACTATGAGAAGGGTTCTACAAACAGTACCTTTCGTTTCGCTTTTCTATCAAAGTCACGTTTAGTCCTCTTAAAAGTTCTTTTCCATTTCGGAAGCCGCTTCTGTTTGAAGGCCTTATTTGAGTGCATGGGTTGGAACAAACTCGGTTCTGATATCCCTGGCTCTCTGGATCAACGAGTCTTTCAACTTGCAGGAGGGTAGAGCAATTATAATGACCGCCACTTGTAGTCTCACAGAGAAACTAGAAAAACCCATTGAAATGAAGTTTTCAGCTAAAACTGCATATTGCAAATGACTCTTATCAAACCAAAAATGTCCGCGTGCATTCGTGGTAATGTCAATTCTCGCCTTTGTGAGT